TATATATATCATGTTAATAAAGCAGATATCTGAGAGGTGATTGGTGATTTATACAATATGGTTTATCAGTGATTAAGAGCATGGATTCTAAAATAAGACTGTCTCAGGTTCAAGTCCTGTCATTTAGTATCCTGATAAACTTCTGAGCTGAACGATACAATTCCTGGGGCTCTCTTCGCACTGTAGTCTGTGTGAGTGGCTATTGTCCGAGTGATGAAATACATCAGCATGGCATGTCTACTACACAGGAATTGTATAAAGATTATATAAGATAATTAGTACAAAGAATATAACTCAATACTCAGTAGTTACTGAGTATCAAATAAAATACTTTCTTATTGAAAATTTCCTTAACCCTGGTCTATCCCATTTATCCAAGAAAACAAAAATACTTTAAAAAAAAAAAAAAAAAAACTTAAGGTAGAGGAGCAGCAGATGGTTCCATCACTGAACTCTCATGTAGTAGACTGCAGTTTGAGTCCTGGACCCGGTGTCTTAAAACAACTGGCATGTGTATGTGCGTGCCCAAAATCATAGAAGGGATTGCAGCAAGGCCATGCCCTCAGGGGGTGATTTCTGGCTTTCTGTCTCTCTGGTGAGCGCATGTGCCCTCTAGCAAAAATTTCTCAAACAAAACAAAACAAACAAACAAAAAAAACAAAGCAAAACTAAAAAGTAAAACAATTATTAGGTAACACTAAAGTTTAAAGATTTTATCATTTTCAATATAATCATTGTTTTCATCATCTACCAAGGAGACAGTTTCTCACAGACTTAGAGGTTTGATCTCTGTTTTGGTCTGTTTTGTGATACTTTAACAGAAGACCTAAGACTGTGTCATTTATAAACAACAGAGACTTATTTCTCACATTTCTGAGACAGAAGTTTAAGATCAAGGCACCAGCAAGTTAAGTGGTCTGGTGAGGGCTCTTTCCTCTAGGGGGAGGACACTGGGTCCTCACAAGGTGAAAGGGTAGGAGAGCTAGAGATCAGAGTGCTTCCTGAAGCCTCTTTTGTATCTACCTGAATCCCATTTTGTAGGAACTTTAATTAAGGAAGAAGCTTTCATGGGTCAGTCCCTTTTAAAGTCCTCCACCTCTTAACTATCACATTGACAACACCTCAATTTTGGAGGGGACATATTCAAACCATTGTACTCTCTCACCTATAAGTGTTTCAATTGGATGCAAAGAACAGATTAAGCTGAAAATATCCATAAAAACACCTCTTTCTTAGTGGGATGTATTTGTGTAGGCTTGGTTACCAGGAATGCATATGGAGGTAGGAAAAGCAAAAAGGAGAGAATTAAGAGGTGGAGAGAAAGGAAAAAATACACAAGGGCGAGAAAAACTGTATGGATGGAAAATTAGTAAACCTCGTTCAGTTTAACACAATTATTCCTTCTCTTATGTCTTAAAAATGGTAGATTAAAAATAGCCACACATTCTTTGATATTCTTCCTACTTAGAAGTGAAGGTTAATTCTCCTACCCTGAACCTGAGTTGTCCTGGGTAACTTGCTTGACCAACAGAATGTGGCAGAAATAACATTCTGGAATTTCCAAGACCATGCTATAAAGAGGCCTGCAGTTTCTGCCCTAGACTTTCAGAATATTCACTCTGGAAAATGTGGCTGTCATGTAGAAAATGTTACTACCATGAAACCAACATTCTATGATATAGCTCGGATACCCATATGGGCAGACTATGTGTAAAAAAGATGGAGAGATATCCAGGCAGCCCCAGCTATTTCAGCCACGTCAGTTCAGGTTCTAAATATAAATATGAACAAAGAAATCGTGATAGGGGACATACTAGTCCTGAAGGCACAACATGAAGAAGATCTGAAGAATTCAACAGCCTTCAGTTTCAAAATATGGCTCTTGTCAAACAATTCTAGCTATCTCTACCCATTTCAGTCATCCCAGCTGAGGCCCAGATGCTGCAAACAGGGAACACACTATTCCCCATTATAATTTGCTTAAATATCTTATCCACACATTGTAAACATAATGAAATGATGTTATGTTTAAGTCCCTAAGTTGTAGGAAGATTTGACATGCAAGGAGGTTTTTAAAGTGGTAATAGATAACCAGAATAGACCCTCTATTAATAAACCAAATGCATTTTAGGTGGATTTGTTGCCAATCTGTTTATTAGGTAATCAGAAAAGTTGTAAAGTATTTTTCTACGCAAAAATGCATTAAAACTTTTCCAACAACCCAAGAGCTGTCTTTTTCTCATTAAGGCCACACTCCTAAGTCAATTATTTACTAAAACTGAGCTATAATTACAAAAGCTTGACTTATGAATGACCAAAGAATAACACCAAACTGCTATTAAAATATCCAACACATTACTTTTTTCAAAATATCAAATCTTTTTGATATATTCCTACCAAAGCAAATTCATGAGATATCCTTCCATCTGGAGGCAGTTTTGCACCAAAACCAAGAGCTGGGAACATTTTATCGCTGTCATAATCTTGGACAATTTCTCCCACTGCTTTCAGTGCCATACCATAGGCGTTCAATTGGTAAGGATTCATGTAGTGTAGAGAAGTGGGCTGGGCAGGATTACCTAAGGACAGAAAAAGTATTTCAAATATAAGTGATGAGGCAAAAGATATTTTTATTTTTATTTATTTTTTTGGGGGTGGAGAGGTTTTTGCTGTAGGGCACGTGCGCTTGCCAGAAAGACAGAGAGAAACAGAGAGACAGAAAGTGGGAAATCACCCCCCCAGGGGGGATGGCCACGCCGCAATCCCTTCTCCTTCATTCTCCTCTTGGGATCTTGGGCATGCATGCACATGCGCCTGGCTTGAGTTTAAGCCACTGGGTCCGGGACTGGAACTGCAGTTGGCTACATGGGAGTTCAGTGACATAGCCATTACTCTAACTGCTGGTCCCAAAAGATATTTTGAAACAAATTCTTCTTAATACCTACTTCAGAAGGAAATATTCCAAATTGTTTGCCAATCTATCTCCATAGTATGTCAAATAGTTTCTTTTTGGATAGGTGATTGACTTAGTCCATTTTTGTGTTGCCAACAGAAATTCCTGAAACTGAGTAAATTTAAGAGAGCAGAGATTTATTTTGACTCAAAATCTGTAAGTTGGAAAGCCAATAGGCAAAAGCCTGGCATCAGGCTGTCCTGAAACATGGCCAATGGACACACACAGGGTGGCAGGCACAGCAGATATGCCGAGAGCGAGCGAGCAGCTTGCTCCTCTTTTACATCAAACAGCTCTCACCAGAACAACCTTTTCTCACAAGATCTAAAACTTCCTGGGTCTTTCAAAAGACAGTACTAGTCTATTCAAGAGAGTGGTGCCTTCATGATATAATCACCACCTACTAGGCCTCGCTGACTCCCAACATCAATTTCCAAATCATGAAACTCTAGAAGACAAATCATAGCAATATTGAAATATAAATAGGTATTATCAGACATTTACTAAAGACATGCCAAAACATATGCAGAATTTTTCAGAAATTATTTTATTGCCAATGCCACAGGCTATTTTTAAGTTTCAGTTCTAGAAATATAAAAGTAATTTTGTTAATTGTATTTTATTATAATATTATTGATTTATTTATTTTAGTTTTGCTATAGAGTGCATGTCCTCACTAAAGAGAGACAGAGGAAGAGAAACAGAAAAAGACGGAAAGTAAGAAATCACCTCGGGGTGGGGGGAAGTAGCAATATTATAATCACCTCTACTCTACTCTCTTCTCCAGATCTGAGGCATCCACACACCAGCATACTTTTCAAGCTGCTGTGTCTGGGACTCAAACAGTTGGCCATTGGGATCCAGCTGCTTTAACCTCTGTACTACCTACTAGCCTTTATTTTTTTAAAAATCATGTTACTTTAGCTTCATTCCTTATATCTATGATGAGAGGATTCAACAGGTTTAACAGGCTTTAATAATTATAAATTTTTCCTAAAGTTGTATCACAAATATAAGTAGACTATCTAAAATATCCTAGTTCATCATTTAAAAAAATTCAAGCAGAATAATTTTCACATTCAAGCTGGTTAAACTATTTTACTATGAAAAATTATTCAGGCTTTCTAACTAGGCATTAAGCTAGGAGCCAGAGACACAGAGTCAATTTTTGCCATTGCAAGATGGTATCTGTGAAATAAATCCTACCAGAGTTTACTAAAAGGACAAATGAGATTATATGTTTCCAATTAAAAATAATAAAGCATCATAGAATTTTAAGTTTAATTACTACTGTTATTGTTGTCTGGGTCATCTTCAAGGTTTGGGTTTTTCAAACTGTTTATACAGTGTAGGATGTTGCATTTTAACAGAGATGAAATTGAGAAAGAATGTAATATGTGTGCTATACTCAGACATATTGAGATTCACATGGAGTTGTTCTAATTACCAGCACAAAGGCAGCCTGAAAGTCCATTTAGTTTCTTAAGTGAAAATGGCAAGTTAAATTGGACTTGTAATAGCATGTAAAACTCAACTCTACATCAAAATATCGCTTTAAGAAGGAAAGCCTCAGGACATAGCTCCTTTTGATAACAAAAAGAAATAATAATAAGTACTTGAGATCCAGAGGGAAACAACATAAAGGAGATATTTCCTTTTGGTTTATAATACATGTTATTATACATAGAACATTTCTGTCCTAAAAATAATTCATTGCACAAATGCAATTATATGTCCAAAGGCTTACCAGCATTCATGAACTAGTTTCACATGATGAAATTTCTAAAACAGTGTCTTCTGATCAAGATGGCCTTAATGCTCTTCTCAACTAATTTTAGAAAGGTTTTTTTCCCTGATTATATGCCCTGACTTTTCTTTTTCTTAGAGCATTTACTTCAGAAAATATGCACTTATACATTCTTTCTGTTTCTCAATGATGTAAATATTCTACAACCAAGGAATAGCATTCACAAATAATTGGGTGCCATCCCTTTGAAATATAATCATCAGGAAAGATAGCACCCTGTCTCACAGTCTTTGAGAGTCGATCTTTAATACGTAGTAGCCTAATCAAAAGACCAACTTCCCAACTTTCTATCTCATCGATGCACTTAAAAACCATCCAAATTTTTGTTTAGGAACAGTTAAATTTCTCTCTATATTGTAACAGCCATGGCTCCTAATATATTAAATTCTTTAATAAAGTCTTCCTTGCCTTTTAAACTTTTCCAGAAGTATTTCTTTGAAACTTTTTTTCTAAAATATTAGTAGATAGGTTTTGTGTATGGTGTGAGGTAGCGGTCCAACTATAGTCTTTTGCATGTGGCTCCCCAGCTATAGGAGCATAACTTGTTACAAAGTCTCTTCTTTTTCCAATTGAATCATATTGGTATCCTTCTGAAATTGGGTAACCTTAGACACATGGGTTTATTTCTAGAACCTTGATTCCATTTCACTGATTTATATATCCATCTTTATACCAGTACCACAATATCTTGATTATCGTTGTTTGTAATAAGTTTAAAAGTGGGAAAGGCTAATCTTTCTATTTCTTTGTTCTTTTTCAAGTTTGCTTTGGCTCTTTAGGTTCCCTTGTAATTCCATATTAATTTCCATATGGGTTTTTCTATTTCATCAAAAAAAGGCCTTTTGAATTTTGGTCAAGATTGCATTAAATCTGTTAATCACTTTGGGGAATATTGTTATCTTAACATTGTTGAGTCTTCTAATACATGAACAACATGGCTTGTTTTTCTAATTATTTTCCTCTCACAGTTTTCAGAGTGTAAGTTTTGTACTTATCTTGTTTTATTCCTAAGTATATTATTCCTTTTGATAGTATTATATTGTGTCATTGTGAATGTCATGACTCACTGTTACACAGAAAACCATAAAAAAAGTCGTGACTTTCCTGATGATCTAATAAATGGAATTATCTTAATTTCATTTTCATATTCCTTGGAAGTGTACAGAAAAAGCGCTGATTTTTATATATTGATGTTCTATCTTATAACCTTGATAAACTTAGTTGTAATGGATTTTTAGTGTATTCCATAGGGTTTTCTATACACAAGATCATGTCATCTGCAAATACAGCTAGCTTCATCTCTCCCTTTCCAGTCTGGATTTTTTAAAGCTCATTTTCCTTGCCCAATCACCTTGGCTACAAACTTCAGTACAATATCGAATAGAAGTGGTAAAAGCAGACATTCCTGCCTGTATTGTTTCTCATCTCGAAGGGAGAAAAAAATCCAGCTTTTTACCACTAAGTATGATGTTAGCTTTGGGATTTTCATAGGTTGCCTTCATAAGCTTAGGAAGTCCCCTTATATCTTAGTACGTTGAGTGTTTTTTGTCATGAAAGTATGTTGGGTCAGCTACAATGGTGCAGTGGTAACCACATTCCTCAATGGTGAGGCCACATGGAAGGTCCTGGTTCATGTCCCAAAGTCTCCCTGTACACACCAGTCATGCGATTCAGGTTGGCTGAGATGAAGGATAAGATCATGACATAAAGACACTGTTGGAGGGACCAGCAGTTAGCGTAATGGCTATGTCACTGGACTCCCACGTAGTTTAACCGTGGTTCGGGTCCCGGACCCGGTGGCTTAAAATCACGCCGGGCGCAAGTGCATGCGTGCCCAAGATCCCAAGAGGAGAATGGAGGAGAAGGGATTCTGGCATGGCCATCCCCTCTGGGGGGGTGATTTCTTGCTTTCTGTCTTCCTGTCTCTCTCTGTCTGTCTGGCAAGCACACACACCCTATAGCAAAAACCTCTCAAAAAAAAAAGCCACTGTTGGAGACAACCATTTTTCTTCTCTGTCTTCTCATCCTGTCTTCTCTCATAGAAGAAATGTATAAAAATAAATGAAAAAAAAGGCATGTCCCTTTCTGCATAAATAGAGATATTCCTGTGGGTTTTTTAAATTTTTTTTTTTATGGACAAGAATATTATTATTTGATCTTTGAATATTAAACTAACCTTGCATTGCTGGAATAAATCTTATTTTGTCAGGGAGAACAATTCTCTTCATGTGTTATTGGATTCAGTTTATTAGTATTTTATTGAGGATTTTTATAGCTTAGAGAGACTCTTTTAAAAGTTTGCAGAAAATGTTTATTATGAAAAGCTATGCATGGATTTTAGAATTTTTTACACTAAAATAAACTCCTACTTTAATTTTATTTTTCCATGAACTTTTTAAAGTTGCCTATGAGATAATAACATGTAGGTTTTCTTTCTTGAGATATTTTTGTCCGGTTTTGTTATTTAGATAATACTGACTTCATAGAGTAAATTCTGAAGTATTGTCTCATCTTCTATTTTTTTGAGAGTTCGTGAATAATTAGTATTAATCTTTTAAATATTTGGTAGAATTCATCAGTAATGCTATATTGTGCTAGGCTCAGATAAACTACGTGGATTTTTTTTTTAATTGCTAATTCAATCTCTTCACTCCTTATAGGTCTATTTAGAGTGTCAGTTTCTTTTTAAATCAATTTCCGTAGTTTGTGTCTTTGTCTGGAATAGATTCTTGCTTTTTCCATCTGCTGTACTAATATTCACTAGTGAAAAAAATGCTAGTATTTTAAATCAATTGGACTTTTAAAGTACCATTTCTGGAGTCGGCGGGTGGCATGGTGGTTAAGGCCACTGGACTCCCACATAGCTGACCGTGGTTTGAGTCCCAGACCTGGTGGCTTGCTTTCTCACTTTCCCTCTCTTTCTCTCTCTCTCTCTTGCTCTGTCCCTCTCTGATCAAATTAAAAATAAATAAATAAATTTCAATGAAATAATTCTTTAAAAAGAGTATCATTTCTGTGTTTCATATTTTACCGAATAAAACATTTGGGGGAAAAGTCATTAAAGACACAGTATTGGGAAATAAACTTAACAAGTAGTGAAAACTGAGCTGAATTAGAGTTTTGTCTCCTTATCTGCCATTCTAACTCTAGAACTAACCCAAGGTGTATTGGTAAAAAGATAACTTATACCTTAGTTTTACTATTTGTAAAAGAGGAAGGTTAGACTAAAAAATCTATAAGGTACCTTTTTCTCTAAAAAACTATTATTTTGGGAAACATGAGTTTATATGAAGTGCTTGTGAGGTAAAGGTAATATAATGTGAGAACCATAGATACACTAACCAATTTGAAAACAAAATCTAGACAGACATAAACTAGGTTCAACTTCAGGTAAAAGTTAAATAATGAGGTTCAGGTCCTGCCATAGCAGCACAGCAGTAGTGCAATGTCCTGCGATGCTGGAAGCCATATGGAAGATCAGAGTTCAGAGTGGGAGAGCGGTATATGCTGTGTGCACATGTACCCATCATCTTAGCTGGCTAGGAAGGCTGGGGCAAAGACTGTGGCATAAGACCCTATTGAGGGTGCTTTTCACCCTTTCTCTCTATCTGTCTTTCTTATGAAAGAAATAAAATGAATAAACTTAAGAAAAAATAATGAGGTTCATGTTCTTGAATCTCTTAATACATACATAATAACTGGGTCCAACTGGCTATTCTGTGTGAAACAGAGTTGATTCAAAATAAAATTAAGAGATTCCATTATTTTTTCCCTTTAAATGTTTAATATGTAAATTATGAATATCATACATGGAAAAATCATATGTTAATTTCTCTGAATGAGTTAGATATAAATGTGTTAACATGAGTAATTCTTAAACATAAATCATTAAAAATGAACCAGTTATTTGTGTAAGGTATATTTACTGTTGACTTATATTCAAATAAACTAGTACATACAAAAGTACTATAAAAATGAAAATTACAATTAGACACATTTCAGACTTAGAGTAATTTACGGAAAAGAACAAAGAGTAGGAGAATGGAGTATGTGTATATGATAGGTTTAATTTATCTAAAATTTGCATTCTTTTTAAAGATATGTAAAATTAAAATGACAATATCTAAACATTTAATAAATCTAAAAAAGACTGTTATTGCTCTCTGTTATATTTCTTGTGGTCTTTTGTATATCTGAACTATTTAATAATATTAAAAAGAAAGAAAAAATGTGAATTTTATATGAAAAAATTGGAAGTATGTAAATATCGGCATACAATATCTAACCTTCACAAAAATAAGAATTTATTTTTTCACTTAACTTCTGATCATTTTTAATCAGGGGATGGTCACAGTACTCACCATTTGATGCTGTAAAATCAATAGCCACTGTAAAGTTGATCTGTGTTCTAGAATATAAGTAAACAAGAATAATGAATAATTACATAAACTCGTGAAAGGAGTTTGTTTTCCATTTGTATTATATTTCTTATGTCACTAATACTCTTAAATTTAATTACAAGCATACATGTTTATAATGTTACACAATGAATAGCATCAGATAACTTCATAAGGTTAAGAACTTCACAAAATATTTTTATAGTCACATAAACAGTAAAATAAAAAATAAAGCCCTGGGATTCAAAATATAGTAGCTCTTATTTTGGGATGCAATAACTAAGTGAATAGTTCATAATTAAGAAGTCAAAGTACAAATAATTATTTGCCCGTCCCAAATGCCAACTATTATTAGTCTGTTTTCAAAATCATTCTGCAGTCATCATGAAATTATTATGTCCTTAAAAATGTAGCATACCTAAAATCATCTCTAATGATGTCATCCTTAAACTAATTCTTTTCAACAATGTCACAAATACAGACTTTTCTCAGCTTTCTTCACAAATGAAGTATTTTAGGCACCAGTCTCTCATTGCACACAGTATTGTGTGTGTGTGTATGTGTGTCTATTTATACCTATAGACAGAGATATAGAAAGTGACAGAAGTTGTTTAATATATCCAAAATTTTCAGCACATAGTACTCAATAATTACCCACAATTATTTACTGTATTTTTTTCCCCTAATGGAAACTAAATATGTGGGATTTAGATGAAAATGTCACTGTTTTGGATATACCTATGATTCTTACTATATGTAATTTTCCCTCTTACTTACTAAAGAAGACCAAAACACAAATAAGTAACCATGATAGGATTAGGACAACAATCTGGATTCACATCTAATCTAAAATAATTGAAAAGTAAATCATTTGAAAATGTGAATACTTAAAGTATTTTTTTCTCTTTTTTTAGCAATAAATTACTTTTGACACCCTGAACAACTGATTCAACACTTTGAGGTTTGGAACTGTTGTGTGAGTGATGACGATGACAATGAACTTTAAACAACACAAACTGACTTTGGCTATTACAGCACAGGGTCCTTGTAGTAATCTGAGGAAAGAGGACAATGATATTTCCTTCTTTCTCTAAATCATCCTGAAAAAAACAAAATCATCCTGAAAAACATCTAAGTACAATTTGGGTATTAATCAATTGCAACAGCTTTTTTTCTTTTTCCTGAGGAATGATCAACCTTTGTGCTTACGTTGAACAAAAACAAATATAGATTCACTTCATAGCTATATGGTAATTTTTCTTCTCAGAGTAGAAATCAGGTTTATAGGCTAAGAATATAGGCTAATTTGAAGCACAATACTAACTAGCATGAACTAAAATGAGTACAAACTTTTAGAAAAAGAATGAGACATTTGGGAGAACATTTTCAGATAATAATTCCCTTTGAGGGACTGAAAAGAACAGTCACCATCAGAACACTGCTTTGTCCTTCTGCTGCTAGGGAAAAAAGTGACCTTACTGCACAGTAGCAATGTTTACATGGTAGGCTGGTCACTAGAAAGTCACAGCCTCTGAGTCTGCAAAAACTGTTTCAGTCTCAGCAACCAGTTGGTGATCTTAGCCAAATTTCAAAACTTTGGACAGGTGCTTGGCAAATAGTTGTCAAATGAGAATGCAAAGAAAATAATTAATATATAAAAACACTATAAGACCATAAAATAAGAACTGAAAGAAAACTACATGAAATACTATATATATATATATATATATATAGTATTTCATGTAGTTTTCTTTCAGTTCTTATTTTATGGTCTGTCATCTATCTATGTGGTTACATAGCCTATATAAATTAACTTCACAATAGTTTTATAAAGAAGAAACTATTATCTTCCTTTACAGATGAGGAAACCAAGGCTCACAAACCCTAATAACTTTCCACACAAGTAATAAATGACAGCAATGGAATTTGATTTCACCCACAAAGGCCATGTTCATAACCTCTGTATACTTTATTTTCCTAGTTAAATATCTGAAAATTACCTGGCTATAACAGGAACACAAATAAAGAGTATGATTATTATGTTGCAAACTTTAAAAAGATACTCTACAGATGACCTGAATGATAAAGGTATCAGGACATAATCTCATGCCTGGGCAAATTTGTCCTTTCATCAAGTACATAATCACATATGTAAATCGCACAATCATCTACATAGATGCCTTTTTACATTATTTTATTCAAAAATAACTCTGAGCTTAAATGAATATATGTTGTAGCATATCATAGAGAGCAATTCAGAATTTCAGTGTTTGGTTCACTCTTCCTTAGGTTGTAGGGATATACACCTTGTCTTGAATCAATTCTCATAAAGATATCAGCCCAAAGAGCTTTCAGGACCTTACTGTATTAACTGGGAGAATGAATGCATTCATTTTATGGTTGTTTCTAACTTGTTCTTCGGGGTGTTGCATGATGTGTAGCACAACCAATTTCTTAGAAGGAATAATTGCAGATTTTTTCAAAGCCAAAGTTGTGCCTAGCAAAGCTACAAAGAAGGCTATTAACTAAAGAACTATACTGTATATAAGAATAAAACAGGAAAGCAAAGGTTTAGAATTTTACTTGCTAAAACTCTAAACAACTAAATTAAATTACAAAACAGAGGAAATAGATCGTGTACAAAAAAAAAAAAAAAAGAGGGGGGCAGGGGAAGGAAGGAAAGGCTAACTAAGGAGTATATTGAAGCCCAGGACATTCTGAGACTAAGAATAAAAAAATGATGCATTTAGCAGTAAATAATAAATAAAGCCATTTGGTAATCATGGTGTAATAAGGACACTCAATATGTAAAGCAGAATCCTTGATGCATGTTTGGCAGTTGATTGATTATAAGATAGGAATTATTCTTCTTTGACTTATTCTGCATGTCAGTAAGAATCTCCTTTATTGCTTTAAATAGGCAGCAGTAATCAGATTAAAAGAAAAATATTATGGCTAAGTATGTGAAGCATCTCATGGTAGTGATGGTTATTTAGTTTGCTACCTTATCACTGGGATTTTTCCATTTAAAAAACTATAGTTCAATAATTTTTTATTGAGCATCTTCCAAATGCCAAGCACTGTGCTAAGTGATGATGGAAAAAAAATGGGAGCAAACAAAACCACCATTTTTGATCTCATAAAGCTTACAATTCTAGCTTTCTATTATTAAAACAATGACAAAATAGGGGTCAGCAGGTAGTATGCTAGTTAAGGGACTGGACTCCCATATGGCCAACTGTGGTTCAAGTCCTAGACCTGGCAGCTTGCTTTTTTACTTTCTCTCTCTCTCTCTCTCTCTCCCTCTCCCTCTTTCTCTCTATGGGGAGCACACATGGCCCCTTACAAATTGAAAAAATTATTAACAATAAAAATAAAATAAAATAAATAATTCCTTAAGAATGACAAAATAGCATAGCATTTTGACACTGAATTTAATCAATAACATACTTGAAATGCTGAAACTCAACTACACATTTTCTGTGGATTATAATTTATTCACTCCCATGATTCCAAAGTTTCCACTCATGTTGTAACATGTATTTACTACACTAAGTGTCATGCTCTATATATTTGAAAGTATTAAGTTTTTTTACATTTCCAGAGGGCATGTGTGCTTAACAGAGAGACAGAGAGACAGAAAAAGAAAGGGAGGGAGAAGAAGAGAGCAATCCCTATGGGGAATGGTTATGCAGCAATCTCTTCTCTTCCATTTCTCCAGTTTTAAAGAGTTTCAATAACATAATAACTTTAGGTTACAAGACAGATTTCCTTAAGACTTTGATAAATTATTTGTGTCTTAAAGTGTACCAAACAAACTCTTCGTCAATAATCTTGTTACCCTTTTTCATTCTTAATATTGCTTGACATCTTTTAGAGAAGAATATCATGTGTCAAAGTAAGAAATCTGAGTTCACACAGGTGACTCCTGATAGAATATTCATAAAATAATCACACCTAAATCCTCGAAACATTTGCTTAGGAAGTGTTACTTTTAACTGTCACTTCATGTTTTAGAAGGAGACAAGAAAGAATAGGATTTCAAGAAACCCAGATAGCAATACTATATTCTAGAATATGAAAAAGTCATGCCTGCCAAAATGTATGCATTAGTACTAACATCTCATCAGACTTCCCAGTGCATATGTCTTCGTATTGCTAAAATATACAATTGGAAAATGTCCCTATTTTACTCTGCCACCTTTCCAAAAGCTGCAAATGACAGGGAAATCAGATGTCAATACGAGAAAAATGTATCCGTGCAGCCAAGATCCACAGAAAACAAGTATATATTTGCATGTCAATGAAAACTACATACCATCTTAGATATTTTTCTACAGCTGTCATTATGAATTAATTCTCTAGATCTAACAACTGTGAAAAGAGTGTGCAGACGGACTGCTTTCCGTTCTTCCCTACTTTAATTCCTGTTTAGTTGCACAGACTGAACATTATGAATTGTAACTAAAAATGGACTTCTCCCACTCTCTTTAAATTAATTTTGAAAAACACAGATGTAGCTCCACAAGCTGCTGGAATCTAGAACCCATTAATCAGTCGAATGTCCACACTGCCCTACTATTCCTCTCACCCTTGCTATGCTGATCTGTGCTTCTGCCTTGATTATCAACATGCACTCTACCTTATTTATACTTCAATTCTGGGCCCAGTAGCAGGACATCAGTTCTTCTTGACGCTATCTCACCATATATGAAATCTTGAACTTTTTTCCTCTCACCTTTTCTCTGTATCTTAAAAGCAGTTCAGCTACTTGAATGACAACACAGACAGCTGGTTGATTCCAAACTTTATTGCATCTTCAAAATTTCTGCTTTCCATGTCTATAAACTACTTACATGATTAATTACCCTCAACAAGTGAAATCTGCTAGAATAAGAACAGGTTTCAAATATAAAAATAAAATGAAAATAGAAATACTTTTACCTGCCGGATATGTGATCTAGGAAATGCTATTTAACTGCTTCTATTTTTAGAGTTTTTGCTACAGGGT